TTTGTACAATTTGCTGGGCTGAATTCGTGTGCCCACCAGATTATATTAGGCTGAGATTTTCTGTCTACGGCGAACGCTTCCATTTGCTGTAAAGAAAATGTTGTTCATATGATGGAAACTGACTATGCCCTGTATGCGGATGACAAGCCCGTTCGCTTGCTCGCTGCTGAAGAGACCGAGCTACCACCTGGTCATCAGCGGATAGTTGCCATCACTTCTAATGTGATCGACTCTGGTGACGTGTTTGTCCAACCATCTGCACGCTGTCTCGCAAGAGGTATAGCCTTTGCTTCAGGTCTAGCGCGATTCCACAATGGCTCCGGACTTCTCTACGCTACAAACCAGACTTCTGAAAAAATTCTCATTCCTAAAGGCACCACAATGGCTAGCGTTTCTGAACTTCAACCTGTCTCTGTTGTCTCTCTTATGCCAGCGTGTTCTGACCTTCCTTCTATTGGACTTTCATCAAGCGTTTCTGTTCTTGCTGCGACTATTAGTCCAGAACTGACCTCTTCACAGACAGATGAGTTGCTTGCCTTGCTACAAAAGCATAGGAGATTGTTTGATGCCCATTCCTCATCTCTGGGACAGACGTCCATTATTAGGCATCGTATCCAGACCGATGGCACTTCCATCGTACGCCGTCGACCATATCGCGTCTCTTCATCCGAGCGTGAAATCATTGAACAAAATGTAGCCGATATGCTGCAACGGAACATTATACGTCCCTCCGCGAGTCCTTGGTCATCCCCTGTTGTTTTAGTAAGGAAAAAAGATGGCTCCGTGCGGTTTTGTGTGGACTACAGAGCACTTAATAAGATTACCCACAAGGATGTTTACCCCATGCCGCGCATAGACGATGCTTTGGATTCACTGCAAGGTGCTGAGTACTTTTCAAGCCTAGACCTGCGTTCAGGTTACTGGCAAATACCCATGCACGAGGATGACAAAGAAAAGACAGCGTTTTCAACACCAGATGGGCTGTATGAATTCAACGTCATGCCATTCGGCCTTTGCAATGCTCCAGCAACATTCGAACGAATGATCGACACAGTTTTACGAGGCTTGAAGTGGAAGACTTGCTTGTGCTATTTAGACGATATCGTTATTTTCTCGTCAACCTTCCCTCAGCACTTGCAACGACTGGACGAAGTTCTTAGGTGCCTTGCAAACGCAGGCCTTCAGCTGAACACCAAGAAGTGCCATTTTGCGAGCAAGACGATTAAAGTGTTAGGCCACATCGTAAGCAAGGACGGTATTCGTCCCGATCCTGACAAGATTTCTGCTGTCCAACACTTCCCGCGTCCTGAAAAAGCCAAAGATTTGCGCAGTTTCTTCGGCCTCGCTTCTTATTTTCGCCGATTCATTCGAGACTTCGCCTCAATAGCTTCACCATTGCACAAGTTGCTCGGATCAGGCGTCGCCTTTGTGTGGTCTCCTGAATGTGAAGCGGCGTTTGCCCAACTGAAGTGTGCACTCACATCCGAACCAGTCCTCTGCCATTTCGACGAAACCGCGCCTACGCTCCTGCATACAGACGCTAGTGGTCGAGGCATTGGTGGAATTCTTCTACAGCGAGACAAATCTTCACGTGAGAAAGTCGTCGCATACGCGAGCCGTGCACTGACCCCTGCTGAAAAGAATTATACCATCACCGAACAGGAGTGCCTAGCGGTCGTATGGTCGATACAAAAGTTTCGACCTTATCTCCACGGCCGCCACTTTACTGTGGTTACGGACCATCATGCCTTGTGCTGGCTCTCGACAATCAAGAACTTGTCCGGCCGCCTTGGTCGCTGGATTCTTCGCTTACAAGAATACCACTTCACTATCACATACAAGTCGGGAAACAAGCATCAAGACGCCGACGCCCTTTCGCGTTGCCCGCTCTCTTCGGAGCCGCTTAACAAACCCGACACTGCTGCACACGAGAAGCTTTCGGCCGTCTCTTCCCTACATGTTTCGTCATTAACTACTTTGGACCCAACTTCTCCAAGCGAGTGTGGTTTGTTCTTATCTCACCAACGTGCTGACCCTTACTGTCGCCGCATCATGGACCGTCTTGACGGGACTTGCCGGCCCCCTAACGCCCGTCTTCGCCGACAGCTGACGCAATTCAAGCTCAAAAACCACGTCCTTTACCGTCATATCTACCACCCTGATGGTCAACGCTGGGTGCCCGTTCTACCTCGCTCTCTTCGGGCTCAAGTCCTCAAGACATATCACGACGACATGTCTGCTGGACACATGGGCTTCCAGAAAACGTATGACCGCATAAGATGTCACTACTACTGGCCGGGCTTGTCCACCTGTGTCGCGAAGTACGTTGCCTCATGCGCCCTTTGTCAGCGTCGCAAGCTACCTACATCAACTCGAAGTGGACAATTACAACCGCTCCCGTGTCCCCTGCAACCATTCGAGGTAGTTGGCATTGACCTGTATGGTCCGCTTCCTATGACTGTCACGGGCAATCGTTGGATAGTTAAAGCTGTCGACCACCTGACCCGCTACGCCGAAACAGCTCCCGTGCCTTCTGCATCAGCTTCGGAAGTGGCCGACTTCATCCTTCGAGCAATAATCCTTCGACACGGAGCTCCTCGTGTAATCGTGAGCGACCATGGAAGATTATTTCTTTCAGCACTCGTCGAAGAAGTGCTCAAGGCAGCCGGCACTACACACAAAACAAGCTCCAGTTACCATCCTCAGACGAACGGCCTGACTGAGCGCTTCCATCGTACACTGTCAGACATGATTGCGATGTATATCGAACCCGACCACAGAAACTGGGACACCATTTTGCCATTTGTCACTTTTGCGTATAATACCTCTGTACAGCGCACAACCGGTTACTCGCCGTTCTACCTCGTCCACGGTCGCTTCCCCTCTTCTTTCCTCGATGTTTCGTTCTTCTCTGCGCCTGTCAAACCATGTTCATCTTCAAGTGAAGAATACGTGTCTCGTCTACTTCATTGCCGCCAGCTGGCTCGCGTCAACACTGAAGCCAAGCAACAGGATCGCAAGCTTGATTATGATGCCTCCCATCGTGCCGTGTCTTTCAGCCCTGGCGACGAAGTCCTCCTTCTTACACCCATTCGCACTCCCGGACTGTGCGAGAAGTTTCAATTACGTTTTATTGGCCCCTACACTGTCTTGGAGCAAACGTCTCCTATGAATTATCGCGTGGCACCCGTTCTTCTTCCGACGGACCGCCGCTACAGGGCAGCAGAAATAGTCCACGTATCCCGCATGAAGCCTTTCATACGGCGTTCATCTTCGCTTTAAAATGCGGCCAAGAACTGCGGTCAGGATGACCGCTTTCACGTGGGGGGGGGGGGGGGGAGTTAGTGTAGGCATTCATTAAGCACATCATCTATCTTTACACATATTCATCATCATGAGTGGTCGTCATCTTCTTCTGCTGTGGGGACTTGGCTTCTCTGAGTTCTGTGCCTTGGGCGTGGTCGCTTCATCGTGTCTTCCGGGCCTAATAAAGGTTGCCTTTACTGTTACATCACAGTATATATAGCACACGCAACACAAAACGAGGGAAAGTATAACTTTGACGTGGAACATTTTTAAAAGAATAATTTATGCATCTAAAAAAACTGTTATGAAGCATTCATTCACTTGACAGACACGCAACTTCCTTGGTGAGGAGCGCTAACGAAAGTACACTCACGCACATATCACCTTTCTTGTCGATGCAAAGCGCCTCGTAAATCGGACCTACTCGTTGATCACTGTATTGTTGAAGTATCTTGCATTAATGAAACATAGCACGACTGCTGCATACGAAACTATGTGCACTGAAGTGCATGGATGCCAACAAAACGCCGCATTAACTTGCGGTGTTCTCTGAGGTGGTCATTCAAACAGCCGCCAGTTTGCCCGATGTAGCAGCGGCCGCAAGAGAGGGGAATTTCGCATACCGCATTTATAGAACATTAAACCAACTGCCTCGTGTGTTTCTTATCGCACACGCGAGGCCTTTTGCAACCTCTGTTCACCTTGATTGATATGTGATGTTTAACGTCTCAAAACCTTCATATGATTATGACAGACACCGTTGTCGAGGGCTCCGGAAAGTTCGACCACATGGGCTTCTTTAACGTGCACCCTAATCTGAGCACACGGGCCTACGTTTCCGCCTCCATCGGAAATGCAGCCGCCGCAGCCGGGATTCAATCCCGCGACCTGCGGGTCAGCAGCCGAGTACCTTAGCCACAAGACCACCGGGGCAGGGCCCTTTGTTCACCTTATGGCAGATACTAGAGAACATATATTTTCTGCTGAAAGAACAACTTTATGATTCCTGATTTATGCGCTACGTTACTTTAAACAATACGACACATTATGCGTATAGGGAATGACTACTGTTTGTGAAAGTGGGCTCTTTTCTTGGACATTATGGTGTTAAAGAAAAGAGCCCATTTTCAAAAACAGTGGTTTTGGTTACCTGTATCTAGTCTTGTAAGAGACCTTCGGCTATGGAACATAGTAACTTGTCCAGGTAGCTTGCCATGCGCAGTCTGCGCACCTGCGAGTAAAGCTATAGTACACAATGCGTGATTGCATGACCGTGTCAACGCCACCCTTAGCCAAGATTTTGCAATCGCTCGCTAGATAAGTTTTGACTGAGCAGAGCCGTAGGGTAGCATACTTTTCTTGGAGTGGGGGCCATACTACCAGCACGCGTGGTCGGACAAAAATAATTGAAGGTCAGAAAAAATGGGCTTTGTTAGCAATGGGAAATTCAGTGGTTAGTTGCAGTGTGCTCGTGCGAAAGCGTGCTGTTTTTGTTTTCTCTGTCTTGTGTTTTCGCGAAGTTTTTCGCTTCGTTGATTATGTACCAAGCGGCCTAGCCAAGCATTTCAGTAGAAGCATCACTGAGCACAACAGTTCAGCAGCTACTTCTCAGCTTCTTTTCGCCTTTCCTTTAAAAACCTTTTTGCCCTTTTGGCCGATTTGTCCAGCCATGCGAACGTATCAAGCACACAAAGTTGTTTCAAGCACCAGGATGCACGACACTTTATTCGGTATCCTGAATGCGTGCCTTCGCATCAGCTCGTATATCCTTCCAGAGGTCCAGGAAGGAAGACGTCTTCTCCGCCTCCTGAATCCTGAGCTCCATCTGCCGAAGCAGGGCGGGCGTGAAGTAATCCTTCCAGCTTCCAACCTTACCGTTTCTTACGTACGAGTACTTGTTCTCTTCCCCGTCGTGGCCTTTGATGCAAGTGATCTTTTCACGCGTGAAGACGTCGCTCCACTGGGGGTTGTCTCCGGCACTCAAATCCACGACCACCACATTGCGCATGTGATCGGGCTGCGATTTCTCCAGCACTTTCTGGAGCAACCCTTCGTCCTTCTCGAGAGCTCGGCCGTACTGTTCTCCCAAGAAATACGCCAGCCTCAGTGCCATCTCTCGGTTGTTGTCCTTGAGTTCTTCGTAGGTCAGGAAGAGCACGTTCGGTTCGTCCCTGAGTGCATACCCCGCGGCAACATGTTCGAAATAGTCGCCGTAACCGAAATTGCCACTCACAAACGCGTCGACAAAATCTTCGAACGTTCCGTTCTGGAATTTGAAATTGCTCCAGTTGGTCATCATGAGGTAGAATGAAACGCACACATCCCACGGATTGCGGGCGAGGTAGACGTACTTGGCTTCTTCGTTCATCATACGCTTTTCCAATGCCAAATGTGTAACGAAAGATCTCAGAGGCAGAGATGACCTGTAATCCTTAACGTCCATGTACTCGAGGAAGCGCCATTCTTCAGCGAATTCTTGGTAGGTCGTCATCGGTTGTCCCCCTCTGAGAATCATTTGCGTGATGTACATCAACCAATGCGTTCCGCTCTTTGGAAATGTCACCTGCACGAGGTCTCCTTTCGTTGCCTTGAAGTTTAGGGCTTCTCTTAGTCGGTCAGGATTCAGTACAGTGCATCTCACAACTCCGTCTATCATTTGGTAGGCCGGTCTTCTTCTCTGCATCTTCACCGAGTGCCTCTGCAAAATGAAAAGTAACATGAGCAACGTATTCGCTGAGAAATCTCCATTTAAACGAAAGTGTTTTATTCTCGAATTGGCAAATGGAAGTGTCATTAAGTTATTTAAAAAATTAAGTCAGACGTCAGAAGTGCCAATTGATAATCATAAACATTTATTCGAAACTACAACCACAGATAGGCAATATGCACATGCCCGCACAACCTTCAGAAGACAGCAGCAAAAACAGAGGCAAGTGCGGGAGAGCTCCTTAGCAAGGCATCAACATGGTGACAAATGCATTCACAAACATGTGAAATGTGAAAATCTGCTTTTTTAATGCGAAGTGTCAAAGGAAGCGTGAAGTGTAAAAGTTTGGTTAGCTGCTCAAATGAGCAGGAAAAATAATAGCATGGAAAAATAAAAGAACTGGGAAAAGAACCAGCTGTGAGTGCTTATAATAGCACTTATTTGTTTAAAAGAAAAAAAACGGAAGTGCCATTTAACGGGAATGTTAGGTGCACAATTTTAATTAGGCCTACGCGAAATGCACAGAGTAGTCGAATAACAATGTATTGGGAGAGTTAAAAAGGAGCTGAGCGATCATATGGAAACTATTTCTTACAACAAAAAGTACGATATTGACGGCGATTTCTGCCCATGTGCTATCATAAATATTTCATCAAGACAATACTCTGAGTGCAATGTCGGCAATTCTATTTTTACCAAATTGTTGAAAACAAGTTACTTGAGCAGTTATAAAAACGTGGATGAGCCCTCTTCGTAAGAAGGCGAACAAGAAAGTGAAACGTGTCTTCACAGTAGTAGGTGAGCGTTTATTGTGCTTTATTTCGCCAAAAGGGGAAAAGAATAAATGCTACAGCAATTAATATCAGTCATGCAAAGAACTACAAGCAGCTCGAAACTTCCAGAGCGAACCTCAAGTATAAAACACGCATGAAATGAGCATACACAGGACGATCGAGCGCGGACTAACAACTGTCACCGCTCGACAGATCAAGCAGGCTGTGCAGATACAAACACATGTGAAAAAAATGCACTAGTATACACAGAGCAAGCGTGAACGATGTCACAAATCTTGCTTCTTCGTGTGCCAGTAGCGCGCTCCTTTAGTAAACGCGGCCGCAGCCGCGAGCGAAGTGACCTTCGTGTTCTCCCGAATCACAAGTCTGATAGGCGCGCTCGCAGGAATGACCATGCCCCGTGGAGGCGCACGCTCATCGAAACGCGAGGCGAGGAACTTTAGACCAAGCCCAACGCAAGCATTTCGCAATGTATCGCAACTGATTACGTAAACGCGCTGAAGTTGTGCAGCTCTGAGGGCCACCGAAATGTATAGGGTGTATATATATGGCTTGCAGTTTGCATTCTAGACACCGGAAACTCCGTGGACTAGTGGTTAGTGGCGTACGATGTTGATTACGAGGCCGCTGGCTCGACGCCCCGTGACGGAACCTTTTCTTCTTCATTTTTCTTTGCAGTGTGTTAGTATATATCTTACAACGTCATATCCGTTATGGAAATACGTCTGCGGAGCCGTGGTGGACCCCGAAATAAAACACTTTTGTGTTGGAAGGTCTACAGAGAGCGTAGTTTTGCTGCCAGGTGGTGGGTGGATGGATGGATGGATGGATGGATGGATGGATGGATGGATGGATGGATGGATGGATGGATGGATGGATGAATGGATGGATGGACGGACGGACGAACGGACGGACGGACGGACGGACGGATGGATTCGTGCGTGCGTGGGTGGGTGGGTGGATTTTAATTGGTTTTTTGAACGCGTTTTAACACGTTGCGGCAGCTAGCACATTGGAAAAGTACTTCTGCTGCGTCTCGGGCCCAGTGGACTGCCCATAACTATTGTTCGAGTACAGAGCTTGCAATAGCACGCTCCCATTTGGATGGCTTGATGACTTCCCCACAGCGTAACGCGGAGCACCATCAGAGCTTATGTTCCAAGTTAGCTAAATCGTCGCAGAAGGAACATGTATTAGTTGGCTGTATTTTAAGATAAATTATGTTCAATAGCGTAGGGTACACCCCGACCTGAAGAAGCCTGAGTGTCAGAGCTACGGTCTGGTTAGTTTTCTGTGCGGTGGAGGGTGTTTTCTGTGACCAGGTAAAAATATTTTGTCACTTCGTTATACGAAATTGGAGGGTCACGGTTCTCCAAAACATCAGCGCCGCGCCCCTCGATAGCAACATGGTTTACTAGTCCTCGCGCATTTATGTGGGTCGACTCGTTAAAATTGGATGGGGCTCCCTCAGTGCGTTCCATATGAGCTGGGAACTAAACCAGTGTGTGTGGCTCAATGTCTTTGTCCCGAAGAATTAGCAAAGCTGGCTCCGATATTATTCCCTTGGCAAATGCTTCGACCGCCGATCTCGAGTCGCTGCTAATTGTGGACCTCCTGTTACCCAGCAAGGCCAACGCAATCGCCACTTGCTCTGCTATTTCCACCTCCGTCATCAGGACCGTTGTTGAGTTCGTGATACTGCCCTCGTGGTTGATGCTCACTGCCGCATACGCCTTCCCCTCGGGATACCGGGCTGCATCGACAAAGGAGCAGTCTCCGGCATGTTCCTGTGCCCTCTGTAGTAGAGCCCTTGCCCTGGCCCGTCTTCTACCCTCGTTATGCTCGGGGTGGACATTTCGCGGAATGAGGACGACGTTAATTTGTTCTCGCTCTGCGCAAGGAATGCTACAGAAGCGAGACTTGATTTCTATCGGCGGAATCCCCAGCTCCCACAGCATGTTTCTAACATAACGCGTGGTGCACAGCCTGGCGAATTGCACCCTCTCCTGTGCATCTGCAATTTTTTCCAGCGTGTTGTGCATGTCGAGACGGGACAATCTGTCCGAGCTTGCGTACATGGAAAGCCCGAGAGCTCTCTTGATGGCCATTTTAATTACCGTGTATAGCATATTACGCTCCGAACTCAGCCAGTTGTGCACGGCTGCAACGTAGGTAAAATGGCACTTCGCAAAGGCGTGCATCAACCTTACGAGGCTGCCAGATGCAGTAAATATGTATATAACAAGCTTGTCGCAAGGTTTTCGCAAGTCATTGTCGCAAAGAATGGGTGCAAATATTGCGATTGTTTGAAGAACAAACCAGCATGACACAGCCTGTTTAGCGTAATCACGGAGAAGGCGTTTGAAGTGCCATTAAATGGACCTCTTCTAAGACTTCTAGCCATCGTAAACGAAGCAAGGGAATCTTGTTCTGATGGACTCATTGACGTGTTCGGTACAACCAAATATATTGAACTGATTATTAAGACAGGTAAAGCACAAGGGACGTTAATTGTAGTCTTTCTCTGCAACTCTCTTTACTCTAAACAAAAATGAATTTAAGCGGATAAAAACCGTCCGCACCACCCGCTCAATTTGTACCCACAATACTCCAACTGCGCATCTATTGCTCAACAAACTCAGCTTCGATGTAAGCGCTTCTCTGTCTTCTTGGTTAGGTTTTTTCATGCGTGCGATCTTTGGGAGTGCTATAGCCAACGGGGAGCGACATGATCTTCGCATGAAAGCTCAGCTGGCGAATCGATCCTGGTATGCCAACCTGAGGCATTAGGTCCACCGTGAGGAGGCCTTCGCTATGAATCAACACAGAAGGGGACTTTTTTTTAGAGAGCCTCGTTCATATGTTTGACACAACCTAGCTGAACAATTAGACCGAGGGAAGCATCAATAATGGCAATTGTTGCTTTTAACCGTAGTGTACTGGTTGTGACGTATATTGAAGTGAACTAAAAAGCACGAAAGATGTTCTTTTCATCACTGAACTCACAAGCTTCGACATGAATGAAAGGCTCCACCAAGGCAAATTTAATGCGTCAGGTTAACGTACCTTGGTTGATTAGCCAGCTACTACTTTGTACGGAGACCACGTGCCCCGTGGTGCCCTCAGGCAAGAAGAGTTTTCTGACTCACTACGCGAGGTGCGAGCGTGAAGTGACTAAAAATCCGACGAAGCCTGTTCATTTCGCCTGACCACTAGTTAGCGTTGTCCCTAAAAAAACTCTCAACCAGATGTGCCTAGCCTCGCCATGTGGCTCCACAAGATATTCTCTGCCTCCCCGAGTGTACGAGATCCACGGAAACGTTAACGCCAGGGACTCTGGCACACCATGGACACTGGCGGCATACTGAGAACCCAGTACACAATAACGCTGTACTGAGATTGCTGGTAGCCTTAGCAATCTCAGTAACTTTGTAGCATACATTCGCGAGGTAGCACAACAAAATCTGGCTTTAGATACACAAAACCTTCAGTAAAGACAAGCTAATGAGTGCCTCAAAGTTCAAGTTTACAGTACGCGCCCCTGTCTGACCCTTTGTCAACTTACCTACAGAATATCTGGGTACACCGAGGTACACCAGGGTGTTAGTTTTACTAGGAAGCACAGGGTAGCCAACATAAGGCATGCTTACACCACTAAAATTGAGCGATGTTTAGGCGGCTTTCTAGTCTAGTGCCTACGAATAATGCTGGTTAACGCTCCCAGAAAATACGTTCACGGAAACACTCAACAAACTGCAGAAGGAGGCACGTTTCGTCAGAACTCAGTCGGTAGAGTATCGGGCGTGGTTACTGGGTTACTGGCGCTTTTTCACACACTGCAGTTAAGGGCAGCGATTACTGTCAACTATGCCTCCTCGGGCCTATATGTATGTCTATTACAGTTTGTTGTGTCCAGCCGTCATGTATCTTATGAACGTTTGCAGAAAGTAAGGATCATATGAAGTACGAAAAGTATAGTAACAGCTGACTGCGGCGAATAACCGAATTTAAAATGTCGAGCGTTTCTTAGTCGCACGACTTCACGCGTCGGCAGCGATGTCCACACCCCCACTGCGCATGCTCGCACCTCGCGTATCATGCCGAATGCTTGCATTCCGCGCCAACTGTTTCCTCCCTGCCCGTCTCTCGCCTCGCAAGGCTGACACAGGTAGCGTCTGCTAATAAAAGCCGACTGCTCGAGCTGCACAGCCGTTCACTGGCCACTCCGTGGCACTGGATCGCACATCAGCGTCCCACCACTCATCAGAGGAAACTCTTCTCATTTATTCAATACATAAGAATAATAAAGACGAAATAGCTATTCAGCGCTCCCCCACCACACCCAACTACGCAACCCATCTGCGACGCATTTAATCAGGTTCCCCCCGGGAGACGATGCGGGCGACACTTTTTACATCTTTTCAACAGCAGCGTGCACAGTGGCTACGCACTATAATTACTACCTGTGTCTCAAGTGATGCTTGCAGTAGACGAGACCTTCTAATAAGGAGCATAAACTTATATAAGCAAGTTTTCATAAAAATAAACTTCAGTTGTAGAAGTGCTTGCATTGTACTTCACTTGTCAAAATAACACCGACGGTATTTCTGGTATAACATAATTGTGTAATAGCGGAAGTTAGAATTACTGCTCACCTGTTTATTTTCGAGCGTCAGTTTAGTGGGCAGGCGGGGGGGGGGGGGAGCTTCAGTGCTCGACAGCCGTTGTACAGCAGCAGAGCAAGAGGGGCATCCTATCCTTTGACAATAAATGTTTCCGCGAGCGCTCTCAGTCGTCCAAGCCGGCTACTCGTGACGCTTTCGTAATGATTTATCGCAAGCCAGGGGCTTCCAATTGTGTGTCCAATCACTCCAGCAGCTCTCACTTCTTTTTTTTTCCTCCAAGCAACCGGAATACATTGCCTTATCAGTTCCGTGGGAGTAATGAAATGCTCCTTCTTTTGTTCTGACATTTCATCGCTACGTTCACAATACGATAACACAACTCGGGAGAGTACCCTGCTTATCTCGAGCATCAACACTAAGCACACATTGTGAATTAAAAAAAAAACATTAGCACACTTCTGAGCTCTCTTCGTAGATTAGCGTATTTTCGGCGATGAATTGAACTCATTGAAACGGCATCTCTACATTCTAAACGACCTTTCGTTTGCTGTGTTCAATATACTGCGCGCTGCGGTACATATTGCCGCTGGTGGAATGCAAAATTCAGACACCTGTACTGTCGGAACTACTCTTCGGGGCAAAAAACGATGTCATATCTGCGAATCGAAAAAGCTCAGAGATCATGGAGTTATTAATATAAACGTATTTTTAGGCAAGTTTTCATCAACGCCATAAAATCCAAATCCAGCATAGCCATTAAGTCGGACCCCCATGCGGTTTATGCTATATACAAAAATATTTGTGGTATGCCATATTCTTGCTGCTGGACTTGCTAGCGTTTTCTTTATAAAATAAGTGTTCGAAGAACCAAAAAGCTGACGATCTACTGAGTCCGATGTCTGAAACACGCAGCCCGGGGCTTTAATCAAAATGAAATGTTCGTGACTTTGCCCGATCGAATACTCGCGTTGTTTGCTCGTTCGTTGCGTATAATAACGCTTTGTTCGCGTAAGGAACAATACTGATCTCAAGGATTTCATTTTTGCCCCCCCCCCCCTCATGTACTAACTACGGGTCGCACCTAATTACGCGATAAAATCTTCATAATTTCCAATCGCTGCAGAGTTTTGAATCGTTCTGAAAAACAGTAACTCTATGTTTCCCACACCCTCACGCTTTGTTTCTTTGGAAACCGCCCATCTATGTGATGTGGGGAATTCATTCTCCTTTCAAATGGTAGCGTTAGGTGGTATTTGCTTCACCACCTTCCCGTCATGCTTTACAACACCAGCAACGAAAGTTCAGCTAGAGGGTACGTTCACTGTAGCATTCTATAATAGCGCAAGTAAGACCCAGAGACACAGGCGAGTGAGACGGTATAGCCACCTAATAACGGCGATAAGACAGCTAGAGAGGTAACCGAAGCTTTATTTGTTGAAATATTGGGAAACAAATGCATCAGCCTGAATAATTGTCTTTACTTCTCTCACACCAAAGTGGGAAGGAACCCCAAACCAACAGCTACAAAGCTTGAGCGTGCCGGATGCCCAGCGGCAATATATTCATGCGATATAATAACGGAAGAAACTGAAACGAAGTAAGCGAGTGAAAATTGATGTACATTGCACAAACTGGTGTAAGGTAACATGAAATAAATATAAAGTAGAATAAAACTACGCAACTTGCAAGAAAACAGATGTACTCCGCTATAGTAAACACGCACACAGAAAAAAAACAAGTGACTTATAAACCGCACCTTACAAAATACTTTGATGCTCTTTAAGCATTAGGTTCAGTAAGCGACTATCACCTTTTTTGTATTTCTTTGAAATCGTCGGTAAAAGAAATTTGACGGCTTCACCTCCACAGCTGGTTCTTGTATGAGAAACTGTCCACTTATTTGTATGAGAAACTGTCCACTAGTTTTGCCTTTTAAGGTCAAGGTAGCTAGACATATCAAGGACTGTATTATAAGAGGAATTGAAACCCTAGAGCAATGCAGCGGCCGATTTTCAAAGGTAGTGGTGTGTTCAAAATAAACTGTGAACGCTTCAGATCACTACAATCACTCTACTATGGGAGAGCTATAAGATGTCCCGGACAAGGCGACGAGCATGAACCAAATAGGCAGCTTCATCTCGATGAAAACGCAACAGCGGTAAGGCGGATAATATTTCATTCAAGAAAAAAATCTTTCGTGCGAGCTCCATAACCGATAACGGCAATGTGGCTCACGGCCTTTTCTGTAGTACAAGTTGAGGCTAGGTTTTGATGTCGTTCCCCAAAACAAATCACAGTAATGTGTGTGTGCGATTAAAACAGAGCATGATAAATTATTAGCTTAAAGCCGGTAAAAAAATCAAAACGACACCTGGACAGAAAGCCAACTGCCTGATCCGAGTTCTTTCGAATGTGAACTGCGTGATTTGTCCACATCTTTGACGAATCGAAGAATAACCCACGTGACCTAAAAGAATCTCTTGTGTACATTTGATATTTGCAAAGCACTAGACGGTTTTTAGGGGAAACCACTGCCTTTATAGGCCGAAAGAAAGCTATACTGTGTTTTTTCGTATTTATTTTGTATTTTTTGTATCCATTTCTCGTTGACCACTCAGTCAATGCTTTAGGAAAATTTCCTTCTCGTGTAAGGTGGTCGGTGGTGTGGCGGCTAATAAATATATCGTGGTGTCATCGACATAAAGAATGAACAGTGGGTCAAGGGAGAAAAAAAACAGATGAAAAGGGAAGCCGGAAGGTTAACCAGATATTAGCATCCGGTTTCCTACCCAGCACTAGGGAGTGAGGAACCGAAGCGAGAAAGAGGGTGTAGGGAAAGAGAGAAAAAAGGGAGAAAGAAAACGCACGTGCACGCAAGAAATACATGATTAAAATAAAGGTTAAAAATAAAAGGACCATGCAGACTGACTTGGGGAGCCGCGCATTTGATGCACCGCACAGCTGATTACTGGCCACTCATAGCGACTGCTTGACCGCGATGATTGAAGTACGACCAAAAACATGAAGAAAAGGACCTTGTGTACTAACTTATTCACCATATGAATTAAAATCTCATGATTTGGGGATTTAAATGCCATAATAAAAAGTATTATTACCGAAGCGTACATTTTTTCTAGTCATTATTACGTAAACCAATTTTTCTTTGTAAAGGTAAAGCAGTCTCGGTCGATTTTCTTTTACGAAAACCTAACTGAAAATTGGTTATTATTGGATTGTTTGGATAAAACTGGCGTCTCTCTTCAACAAACTTTTTTCAAAGGTTGCTTAGATTATCGACAGCCCATAAATCAGACGATAATTAGATACAATGTTTTTTTTTAATGAGAAGCATTTCTTGATGAACTTCGGTGACTTTGAGCGCATCTATCTATCTATATATCGATCTATCTATCTAGCCGCTTACGTTTGGCTCCTCTTGGGATCACCCTCTTAACTTGGCGTGAACCAAAAATAAGCATGAAAGGGTAAGATGGTTTGTCGAGTATTATACGGTGGTCAAGAAATGAATATTGTCACAATTCTGTCGCGCACGTCGTCAAACACGTCCCGTCAGACAGTGGCACATACACACGGGCGAATATGTGCCACTGGTATGCGGGTATGTGCCACAGGTGACGGGCACTTAGATCTACCCAGGAACGACGAGAACACACGAGGACATTTCTAACGCGTCAGCGTTAAGCAGTACTCGACACCGGTAGTGTTGACCCAACTAAGGCATAGAATAAAGGTCATTGTTAAGAAAAGCCTGACATTGGCAACGCTGACCCTCCGACGAATGCAAATAATAAACTTCAGAGTCCCACCAGTAATCGAACCCAAGCATTCTGCGTGGCAGTCAAGCATTCTACCCCAGAGCTACGCCAGATCTCGGAACTACTTTTCAAATAGACGCTAATCTTCGTGGAACGTCAATAGTGGTTGCAGTACTGCGTACCCAATTTTATAAATATCACATATGTACTCCTTTGATACAGCCATCACGTTGGGCTAACATCAATTGTAGTTAGGTGCAAAGAGCTCAAGTGGATTTATATAACAGTGCCCAAGGCCAGCATCAGCGCTTCATATCAGCTTCTGGTTTTGCTGATACGCATGTTCCAGTTGACATCGTTGCGCAAGTGCAAACAGTAAGTGTTATCAACATCTGCAACTCTTCAACATATATCTCTGCGTGCAACATTTGTATATATATGCAGCCTAATTTCATGACCTGTCGCTCAGCGAAAAAAAAAATCGCAACATGGTCACGTACCTTCCGCATGCTTCGCAGAACGTCGATTCCCAGGTACGTGGAATTGGCCGAATTTTTTTCGTCACGTTTCAAAATTAGAGAAACGTTCGCTGTTTTCATACTCTTGATGAATACTGCCAATGCAATGCATTGATTGAATGTGTGCACTTAACGAGGAGCTACAATGTTTGCTACAAACTTCATATCCTTTAGTTTGAGCCCAAATTAATCGTTAGAGGAGTTTGCTTCGAGGCTCAATATCGCGGAAAATATCTCGTCCCGATCCGTGTCATAATGAGCCACGGACCCGCAAACAGTCTTAGAACAGAAACGAAGAGATCTTTGTTGGCATACCAGAATACGTACATCTATTAAGAAATTCGTTAAACTTGTCAGCGAATTTGATCCCGCAAACCACATCCTTATCGCTCTCTCATAAGAAACTTGTTTTGGTGGCCAAGCGCTTTTTTTATATTTTCAATGTCAGCCAGACGCGCCCAACCCAGCCGTTCACTACCCTCTTTTCTAGCCCCTTCCTGTTCTCGGGCATCACGTAACCTTTGTTCGTGCTTTGGGATCATGGGGAGAGAACCCTTCCTGCAGTGCCTCACGACGGAAATCACATGAAGTAATTTTTTGTTCAGTTATGTGCAGATTTCTTGGACGGCGTCTTGCAATTTTAGTGTTCACTATGTTGGCGGTCACGCCGGCATTGTGAAAGATACGATGTGTTCAGATAGCGTGTGGTGGTTCGTGGCGTGGTGCGGGCCACCAACGTGGAAGTGCCACTGCAACGCTATTGCATACGCTACGCTGGGATACGGTGGTGGAATCGCTTCGAACAACAAAGAAGGAGCACGAAGGCAGAATTTTGTTGGAGTGGTAAACATGTCTATCGCATCTCTGGGGAAAAGCGCTCGCAAA